TATATTCATATAAGTTTTCCATTAAATTCAAAAAAATGAAAATGTGTTTTAAAATGTGTTTTAAACAAAAACATTTGACAAAAAAAAAATCAAATATATTTTTCCGGAAAAATCTAAGTTTTTTGGAAAGTAAATACTGAATAAAATGTTTTTTGGAAAGTAAATAACTAATGGTCCTAGATTTAGGGGATTTAAACTATCTTTGGTAGAATAGACTTTCTAGTTTCTACCATTTGGTAGAAGATAGATAGAAGGGGTAGAATATGCATTCTGCGTGGCGTAGACGACAAAGACATTGGTAGAAATATCATTCTGCGACTGGTGGTACTGAAGGAAAATGGTGGAATGTGCAATCTGCGATATGTAGAACTTGTGCAATTAGTAGAATACTTATTTCTACCACTCGTAGAATGATACAAATTCGCAGAACAMCTAATCTACTAGTASATTCGACCATGGTARAAGAAAAAATAAATAATTTTCTGTCATAGTTTTTTTAAAAAAAAAATATAAACATGAATCTATATGCCTTGTACATTACTATTTTCTATTTTCCTGATTTTATAAAATTATAAAAACCATTTTTTGTATTTTCCAATATTAATCAAATGCTAATATAGAAAAAAATTAGTTAAAAAAAGACAAAAGTTATTTTGCAAAACACTGATTGAACGTGAGTTAATTTAGCAAAATTCCCATATTTGTTTGACTTATAACATCCGGTGTTAATTATTTTTATCGTTAAAGGATTTTCTTATAAACAAGAATTGGTTAAATGTTTAACCGGTTGTACATTGTCAAAACCAATAACTTTATGATTTCATTTAACCAACTCTTTTTATTTGAACTTTTGGTGAATATATATATTTCTTTATAAGATTAGGGTCACAACATCCCTCACTATATACGGACTGTATGAAGTATAACTTATTGTCCAATGTGAAACTTGTCATTTTTGTTATATAATCAATGAAAAACATCTAAGGTTTGTTTACATCAATAAAAAAACTGATTACCGTTTCTTCTTTCTATTTTCTTCCAGTACGTAATGTCTTAATTTGTAGTTACTAATATATAAAAAATTGACTCATATCAATTCATCGAGATGTCAAAATTAAAAATATTTACACAAGAAATTTGGAGAATAGTAAGATGATGATGTAATTTTTGTGACTAGTTTGTTTCTTAGGTGTTATGGCATAGCGCAATAAGATATGAAATTTATGTGTACATTTTGTTTTCTTTTTTCAAATCTCCAATTGATGGGATTTGTAGTACAATAAGTATAAAACTTAGATTGCTTTTCTAAAACAATATTGGCTTCAGTGAACCATTGACCCACCATGTCTGCTTTAATAGGTCCATTAGCTTGGTTTCTCAGTTCTTGACTAAAGCTTTTTACCTTCAAGAGTGTCTTATATTCTGTTTTGCCGTCTCTTTGCTTCCCAGTTTGATTTTGCTCAATTTCTTCAACTTCTTGATATCATTTTTGGTCCAAGAAGGATTTGGAGCAATGTCTAATGAGGCAAGCTTTTTGGAGATTCAATGGAGATTCAAGCTCAAAATCCAAAGTCACTGTTATTGAAACCAATGCTAGTTCACAATGTCTGCTTATGAAGCAGATGCAAATGAAAGCTTCTAATTCAAACGCAAATTTTGCATAAATTCTTCAACAAAAAAAAACAGATGGTTCGAATAAGCTTGAGATTGATTCTCAAGTGAATATAGATAATGGATTTGTTGGTCAAGATGACAAAGCTTGTGGTTTCTATTTAGCTATATTTTATTATATGAACTTTTTTTGTACAATGTGTTTCAAGATGAAAAATGATGTTGTTAATGTGGATTTTCAAGCTGGGTTTTTATGGAGTGATGATCCCTATCATCCCAAACGAAAACGCAGACGTGTATCTCTCCTTGAAAAACCTTATTATTGTAACAACAGCTTCCACTTTTTTTTTGTTACACTACGAATCTCCAATTTGTTATTTGTTCGATTTTGTGACACCATCTAAAAGCTCATACTTTGATGCATCCTTTATTGACTCGTAAGCATTAACATAAGGAATGCAACCATATGCAAGCGTTCAAAAATGCTACGTTGGTAGCTATTTTTGGTTTCCTAACAACTGCAGAGGGATCAATGTTAAATGCTTGATCTGCTTCATCAATGATAATTGCATCCTCATCCAGAACAACAATAGTATAAGTCTCCTCCGCACCTATTCAATGTTGCAAACACAATTTGAGACTCTTTGATAACTTTTTTGTATTGTATGTTTCGGTAATTCTTTTCTGCCAGACTTCTCAATAAGCACATCAAGACAAAACAGCTTTGAATTTTCGTGAACGGTTTTCGAATTCCCAATCCTCAAGGTTTTAGGTTGAAATTTATGCTCATCTCTTCCATATGTGCTTGAGTATATTCTTGAAGCAACTTCATCGACTGCAGCGTTTGACTGAGCGCAAATCAGTATCCTACTCTAATCAACTGATGCAAGCAAACAACTAACCACATCAACAATTGTACGAGTTTTGCCAGTCCGTGTAAATTAAGCAAACAATTCATCAAAGATCAATTCTACCATAACATGTTATCGGTCATAATCAGTTATTATTGACAAGGAAAGAAAATGACTAACCTGGAGGACCTTGAACAAGGGAGAGATTGGATGTGCCAATTGCAGCACAAATAGCCTGAAACTGACTACTATTGAAAGATGAATTGAGACTCTCTGATAGAGGAAATGGTATTGAAGACAGATTTGATCTTGTGGTTTGAGTATCAAAACCAGAACCACTCGTAGGATCTAGGATCACATGATGCACAAGTATATCCTTAATGGATGACAGAGCTTGAAACTTGCATACCATTGGCTATGTTCTACGAGTTTTATTCTAGCTTGGTTTAGACGTGAAGATTCACTTAAAACAAATGCGAGTACAACCAATTCCTTGGGTCCTTGCCATTCTTCCACCTAAGCAAAACATAAAGTTTGGTTTATTTATTCCCTCAAGTATATTAGATTAGAACATTATGAAAACCTTTCACACATACTTTCCCATAAAATGAACACTAATCCTAACATCGTTTGCTGGATCCTTTTGCGTGAACAAAACCAAGTCATTCTTATAGAAACTTCTCGAGTTGGAGTCATCATATTCGTCGTTTGGATTAAAACAAATCGAGTGAAATTCTGGATCCCTCACAGTCCATTTAACTGAAAAAACAAACTCCTCCTATGACGACCTCGATACCTCCTTTTGCAATTGAGCTTTGAAGTCGTCAATAACAAAGGGCTTGAAAATATCTATATATTGTTGAGCCGACCCAAAGCAAAGTGGAATATCTTTCAAGACCTTCCTATTTTCCTTAAACTCGCTGGAATAGTAAATGTTTAGGCTAAACCAAAATGGGGAATCCATTCAATCCCACTACGATAGTCTAAATTACCAAAACCTAATGTTACAATCAATTTAGGTGATTGTATCTAGGTGATGAATTTAGATGATTCGTCTCGATGCAACAATCCGATATAGAATGCGAACCAAGTAGAAAAGCATGAGTGATGAACTTAGGTACATTTACATAGAAGTAAACAAATAGAAGAAGAATCGCTGAGAATTCGTTGTAACGATTATTTGTATAGTATAGTTCTATAAACATATGATCATAAATAAGGAGCATTAATTCAAGTTTATCACTTTAACCACACACTTGAATCGATTGCTTCTTTCTCAAGAAACTGAATGAGGTCTATGCAGATTTTCCTCCGATCCTCTGTTTTTCTTTTTATATATCCATATTTTGAAAGAAAAACACAAAACTTCTTGTATTCTTCAGCTTGTTGAGTTGATTTGATAACTAGACTCAGTAAATCTAATTTAAGGACTCTAATTGCTTTCAAACCGTTAAAAATAAAATTTTAGTAAATCTAAGAATAAGAGGTAATACTGAGGGGAGTTTTTGCTCCTACGAATCACCATTTTTAAACCTTTATCTACTCTCTTTGCTTCTACATTTTTAGCATAACCTTCAGGAGAAATCTTGAAGTGCTTTAATAGAATTTATTATAATAGGCAATGATTTCTATCATTTTATACTTTTCTAATAATAGCCA